AGAGAGGCTGTGGAGTCTCCTTCTCTGGAGATCTTCCAAACCTGCCTGGATGCCACCCTGTGCTCTGGGTGTCCCTACCAACCTTTACCATTCTCTGAAAGCAGAGCCCTTCTCCAGGGGGCCAGGTAGAGGTGAAAGGGCTGGCATAGTGGTCTGGAAAAAAGTAGGTACTAGAAGGGCTTAAAGAGAGAGAGAGAGAGAGAGAGAGATGGGGCTGGGGCTGCCCTGAGCATGTGGGGAGAGAGAGAGAGTAGCTGGAGGAGGGATGTTTCTGCAGGCAACCTTTACCATTCTCTGAAAGCAGAGCCCTTCTCCAGGGGGCCAGGTAGAGGTGAAAGGGCTGGCATAGTGGTCTGGAAAAAAGTAGGTACTAGAAGGGCTTAAAGAGAGAGAGAGAGAGAGAGAGAGATGGGGCTGGGGCTGCCCTGAGCATGTGGGGAGAGAGAGAGAGTAGCTGGAGGAGGGATGTTTCTGCAGGAGGAAGAAGCTTTCCTGAGGGCAAGAGGCCATGGTACTGGTGGAGGAGAGTAGTTATGAACAGACTGGGGCCTGGAGGTTGTGACCCTGATCAGGCAGGTGAGAAAACCCTAGCTGAGGTAGCAGTGCTGGCCTCAGCCTTGGGCAGGGCTGGCCTCTGCTGGGGCTTGAGGCCTGCACATGTTCCAGCACTGAGGAGATCATTTCATGGGGCCAGGCCCCTGCTGCCCCGACATGGGTGCCCTTGAGTGCTTGTACTTGTCCTGCCTCCTGGGAAGGAGGCCGGGCCCGCACGCTGGAGGCCAGCGCCTTCCCCCACCTACACTCCCCCCTATTTATTTAGCTAGACACTTTGTTTTTCCCGCACGCGTGCTCTGGCAGGCCGTGATGCTAAATCCACTTGTGCCTGCCTGGCCCTGGCCTGCCCAGGACATGTGTGTCTTCCTCCCTGAAAAACGGTGCTTGCTGAAATCAGGTCTGTCCTGGGGCACCTGGTGGGGGAAGCCCAGTGCCCTCAGAGGGCCCTTTCTCCCTCAGGGCTGCCCCCTGTCCCCAGAGCGGGGTCTGAGTCCTCGGCGTGGGGCCCTCAGCACCCCCGGCCTTCGCCCTGACTTCGACCCAGCGCTGTAATGACCCAGACCTCTGATTAAAGGCAGACAGACCCAAACCGCTGCCCTGTGCTTATTTCCGTGCCCTGCAGGGCTGGCCAGGCCTGGGGTGGCCGGGAGGGACAGAGCCGAGCAGCCATGGGGCCACGTGGCTCCAGCGGGGGAGCAAGGGGGAGAGCTGGAGGTGGCGGCTGTGAGGTGGGGCCCTGTGGTTAAACCGAGGCCTGTCAGTGTTCCCGGTTAAAAATAACGGTGAAGAGGGAATGGTGGAGGGGGGGGGAAGAGGGAGGTTATTTTTAACCTACTCTGCAGCAGCGCCTGGTTCTGGCACTGCTCTGCAGTCATCCTGTGTTTTTGCAGCAGGAGAAACAGGATCCTGAGCCTAGAGCATCCTCCCTGGCCTGCTGCCCCGGCCCTGCTCCCCTACCCCAGCACGCTGCCTTCCCGCTTCCGCACGCCCTGGCACGAGGAAGGTGCCTCGCAAGCCGCAGGGTTCCCGCTCGGCGGGGAGTGCTGGGCCCTTGTGCTGCCTCCCTCGTGCTGGGTGCCGTGCTCCAAACCCTGCCCCGCTGGCTGTGGAGCCCGAGGCCCCTGCTCGAGGAGCTGTGTTTGTTTGCTCAGCTTGTACTGCCACTGCCCTGCACGGCCCCAGCGCTTGTGGCTCTTGCCGCTTCAGCAACCCTGTGGCGTTGGTGGGCAAGGGCAAAGTCACACTTGGCTTATGGAGGATGGGGTTGCTTTCTGTGGGAAGGGATGGTGCTAGGGACGGCTTCAGCTGATGGAGAAGGGGGCTGGGCTGCCATTGCTGCTGATCAGGTGGAATGGGGAGAGCTTGGGGAAGGTTCCCTGGGGTTAGCCTGGAAAAGTGGGGTTTAATGCAGGAGCAGCCACCAAAGCAGGACCTCGGAATAGGCAGCAGCAAGGAAAGCCCTGCAAAGAGCTGCCTTGGGGTGGCCTACAGGCATGGCTCAGCTGGGAGCTGCCAGGAGCGGTGCCTGCTTTGGTGGCACAGGGCCCAGCCTGGCCCTGCACGAGTTGCTCCGTGGGGTCTGAATTGCGTGTCATGGGAATGGGACAAGTGCACGCAGGGTGTTTTCACATGGCAGGACAGGGAGCAGCACAGGGGTGGCAGGGAAGGGGCAGGGGGTGCCCTACAGCCTGCGGTAACGGGGCCTTTAGGGCCACAAACAAGCTTACCCAAAGCTGGACCCTGCGTGGGGAGGCCCTGGGGGCTCCACCAGCAGCTCCTCGTGGCTGCTGCCCATGCTGGGCTTGCAGCAGCTCCGTGCTGGAGCTCACAGTGGGCAGACAGACACCCCCGGCGCACTCTGAGCCAGCCCTGCTGGGGGTCCCAGGGCCCCGTGTGCCCCAGAGACCCAGGCTGATAGCCCTGGTGTGAGCGGGCAAGGCGGGTGTTCGGAGCTGGGCCCATCTGTGGGGCGCTGGGGCCTCCTCCCTGCTGCTCAGCCACGGCCCCTGCCTTGTGTCTCCGTGTCCAGGATGGCAGCGGCACCCTGCAGCGCAGCAGCTCCCTGGGCAAGATCCGCGACGTGATACGCAGGAGCAGCGAGATGCTGGTCAAGAAACTGCAGGGCAACGGCCCGCTGGAGCCCAGGAACACGAGGTGGGTCCTCTGGGTGGGCGTGTGGGGCAGGGCTGGTGGCAGCGCTGCTCCGGCACGGAGGGCTCCCGCACACTCCCCTCTGCTTCCTTGCAGCATGAAGCGAGCCGCGTCGCTGAACTACCTGCACAAGTCCAGCGATGCTTCGTTCGAGGTGAGCGTGGGGCTGGCGTGGGGACAGGGCGGGCAGCACTCCGCGTGGGACACAGTGGGATGTGTGGGAGCAGCCTCTTTTCCCAGGTCACAGCGTTGCCTCTGTGTTCCCCTGGGGAGCAGGGAGAGCAGCGCTGGCACCTAAAGGGGCTGAGACCACCCCGGGGGAGTCTCGACTTGCCCAGGGTGTCCCTGGAGGGTGCTGGGGGACGGGTGGGCACATGTGGCCGTGGACGCTCTGGCTCATGGGATGGTGCCTCTCTGCTTTATTCCAGGGCACCCAAGGCCTCCGCGCGGAAAGCAGAGGCCTGAGCGCCAGCAGCATGGACCTCTCCTTGCACAGCTCCCTGCTGGCCTCCAACTGAGCACCCGCGGGCACAGCCCGGCTTCACGCA